GCCCCAGAGCAAACTTCAACATGCCAGTTTCCTTCCACAAACATATTTCGAGTGAAAAATCAACGTTGATGATCGTTTTGGGTCTATACAAATTTGGCTGTCAAAACGTTCCGGTATCGAGCCGTCTCCTCTACATTACGAAGTAGTGGTTGCGACTTCGGCGATAGCGCGAGCTCTGGTGTGGGGAGCAAACCCTTTCTTACATGTACGTCATTGTGGTGTTATTTCCAACTACACCCAAAGTCTTGGTATTTCAGGGTAGATGTACATTATACTGTTTTGTCCATTTGTTTTGTTTAATTGTTTGGAACACAGCCCCGTGCTGTGTGATCAGTCGTGTTGAGTCAACCTCTCGCGCTACGGCACTGCTGTGACTTAGTCACCTGCACGCCGTCGCAAGAACCTGCCTGCCATCACTGCAACTGGTCTCCGTCCTTTTCACCTCCCATGTAAAAACTGACACCATCCACACGATGTCTCATTACCTTGAATGTCGCACTAATGTCGCCCTTTGCTACCTTCGCGCGCGTTGCTACCTTTGCCCGCTTTGCTCCCTTCGCGCGCTTTGCTACCTGCCTGGGTATAAATTTTGTAGCCAGACGATGTACAGGTTATCAGTTGTCTGAGGATTGCCTTAGCTTTGCTATGTGCATGAAACGCAGCGTTACAACAATGACCTAGCCGGGTTTCTCTGTTCTCTTCTTCCGTTGTGTACATAGGGTTACACACTGCGCTGTACAGTCATACTTCGAAGTACATGTACATGACAAGGCGATGGGAGTTCGCGATGGATAGTGTGTGTGTGTGTGTGTGTGTGTGTGTGTGTGTGTGTGTGTGTGTGTGTGTGTGTGTGTGTACAGACGTACACTTTATTTATAGTGGAAATCAAAACAGGCATAATGCCTAATGACAATGGACCCACTCTGAATACAATTTAAAAAAAGGATATTGTGGAAAAGTAGAGAAAGGAAAAAGAAGAAAACGGAGGGCTGGTTGTAACGACTTCTCATATATATTGGCAGTCTTCTGACGAGCCAGGAGATGTTGAATTAATAATAATAAAATAAATAATAATAATGAACAAACGTCAATCCAGTGAGCGATGGAAAACTTACATAGTAAGTAAGACGTCATGCAGCGCGAAGTAATGACACCTGCACTGGCTGTTGACAAGTCATTGAGAATGGCTAGCTGTCAAGACATTGACAGATGTGTGTGTGCTTTTGTACGTGCAGTATCTTTTAATTAATAGCTACCCTGCGTAGTGAGCGCACCTGTCTAGATGAGTGCCGTAATGGGGCATCCTGCGTCATCAGATCACGTGTTTCCGTGAAACACTTACAATGGGGCTGCGTATGTAGTCATGATGCGCACGATGCAGTCCTTCCTAATGGCGGTGGCACGCTACGATTATGTACATTATCAAGAGTCCATAACTATTAGTATGGGGGTTATGGACCCTTGATATTACATAGCAGACTCAGCGGAGGACGTTCAGGTTGATTGTAACTCTGAGTTTCATGCCGTTAGGCAATCATCAGACAACTGATATTATGTACTAATCTGGCTATTTCAATGATTTGCCAGCAGAAACATCCACAGCACTCATGACCCTTCATTGACCTTGGCAAGGTTTACATGTGATTGTGTATTTGGGAGAGTCCGATAGGCGCAAGTCCCTCTGATGTACCGCTGACTCTACGCTGAAGATCTAAGTATTGTAATTCTCATTCTCATTATAATTTTCATATTCGCTTTCATGTTATTGGGCTCTATGCCCGTTTGAATTTGCGAATCAAAATAAATACAAAACAAACAAACAAACAAAGAACTACGTTGTTCAGAACAGAGGCTTGGTTACTGGAACCTTTGGCGAAGAGACGAACTGTTGGGACGGCTTATTTTGCTCCTTGATCTTTGTTCTTCATTCAAAACGTCTGCGTGAAATGCAAAGTATCCTTCGCTGAATGAAGCAAAACAAGTATAACATTCTGCTGATTTGACTGGTGCCATTAGTCACCAAGGCTATCGTGGCGGGCACGGGTGGCTTTGTTGATCGGTTGCCACACTGGAACACTGGAAGGCTCTGAGACCTCTTACTGTCCAAATGCAATGGCAGTTGTTACCACTGTCGATGTAATGGTAAAGATTGGGTACAGATTATCCCTGAACTAGCTTCACCATCAAGGTTGGAGAAGCTGCACGTACATGTCCATGTACAGTCTTGTAGCGTATTGCTAACTGTCTCTACGCATCCACCTACTAGTTGACGTGTTTTGCATGGGAGCCGATATGTTTCAGCACATTGTGTGGACAATGTTTTACGAGTACGTGCGAACCGTGTGCGGCTCAGCACACAACCGGTGTGTACTCCTAGGCACCTGTTGTTGGGGCGAGGCGTATGTTTCCCAGAAACGATAGCGAACGGAAACAGCTCAACACGGGAGTTTGAAATAAACGATTTCACCGGAAAGGCATATGCGTCATTTGCCCGTAAAAGAGGCCTTGTTACTACTAGTACTACTACTACTACTACTACTACTACTACTACTACTACTACTACTACTACTACTACTACTACTACTACTACTACTACTGATCGCTTGAGAGGCTCAATGGAGCACAATCATGATTGTTGGTTTACATGAGTCAGTGATGCATGACAATTACCGGTATAGCACACTGTACATGTACCGGTATATACAATGTATGTACCGGAACAGGGATTAATTCTACTCAGCGACGTAGACTACAGCAGTCAGCATGGGCATGAAAGCCAGGGAGAATGGTACACAAACCATCCACTACTACGACTACATGATTGACTGTACTACTAGTACTAGTAGTAGTGCCAGTAGTGGCCAGTGAGATGGAGAACAGGACGCCAGAGACAGAGTCAGGACTCATGTAGACTCTGCACTGTACTGCTGCAGCGTGTTCAGTGATCTCGCTCAACTGGGAGATGGCATCATCTCAGTAAGTCTCCGACCTACAACGGAGCGATGCTGCTGCTGCTGGCATGATGAAATGGCCCGGGGCGAGTTCTTCCTCCGAATATCCGGCGCATGCATTTTGCAGTCTTCTGGCTCAATGCATTGCACGGTTCACTGAAACGAAGGCGAGTCGGCATAGGCCAAGTTAGCACCGGCTTAGTACTGTGTTGTAAACTGTATTTATAGTGGAAGTCAAAACACAGGCATAATGCCTAATAACAATGGACACATCGTGCAAAGTGAAAAACAAACAACCACAAAACAATTCATAAAGCTAGAATAGCTTCTTTCTCCGGTCTCCACTCTTCCAGAGTTCCTGGCTTTCAGCTAAGATGTATGTATGTGTATGTATGTATACTTTATTTGAATTCGCAAATCCAAACGAGCACAAATGCTCAATGACAAGGCCCGGTGCTCGTATTGCTGATCCTACCTGCAGCAGCGTGCGTTTTACAAGTTACTAAGGCTAATAGCCTTCGGCTGATTCAGCAGGCGTGTCCCGCATGTAAATGTAAATAGCAGGTATCGGTATTTACACGGTGAACTGTTTCCCACAGGAATTGCCATCTCCATTCCGAAATCATTTTTACTTCGGTGCATCCCTGTTTGACAGTGTCCCCATGTCTCGCCCCCGAGACGAAGCAAGTACAGTAGGAGCCACACCGGCTGAAGTAAAGAAAAACACTTCTGTGTACTAGTAGTAGTAGTAGTAGTACTTCACATGCATTTTTACTTGTCCTCTCTCACAAGCGGCCGCACAGTGTGCAAATGATTGTAGCCTTTGCTGTCCCAACTCCCCTCCATTAGAGCACTTCACGTTTTTGCATGCAGTAGACATGAAGTTAGTGTATGGCCGCTAGCCCACTAGATATAGACCCCAAGTCCACGAAGATGCTATTCTTATTGTTTGTCAATGAGCTCGTGGATCAGCTACGAAGATCTCTCTTTATGTTACCCCTGTGTGGTGCGTTCATGGTGCGTTCTGCCACAAGGTTCTAGTGTCGTCCTTGCCATTACATTCCACTTGGGGTTTGAACATTGAGCCTTTGGTCCCAGAGTAGAGTGCAGTCAGCAGACGAAGAAGGTCAGCCAGGCTGCATACGGCAAGACAGAAGGGAACACCGTGTTGCCAGTAGCTCAACATAGCTCTACACATCACATTCCACAATAGCACTCACGCACGCGCAGCCAGCTATTCTTCAGTGCATGGGCCGTCGTTGTCAGGCGCCACCCAGACGGCATTGTCCACCGCGGAGGCCTCATTGCCAAACTTGGTGGCGATCTGAGCTGTAAGTTGACAAGGTGCACACGCAAAGCTCGAATGGCCAATCCAGTGTTAGAATACAGTGCGAGAAGCCAGAGTTGTTCCGCACTAAAATTGATAGATAGGCGGCAACTGTTACAGACAATTAATTGATGCATGGCTGAATTGGAAGCGTGCGGCATGCCTTTCTGAGCGCTCTGGCGTGGCGTGGTGACTGTGTGAGCTTACCATCCTTAGTCGTCGTCTCCTGTCGGGATGTCTGGGTGCTCAGCTCACGCAATCATTAATGCTTGCTCGGACCTCGCACATGCTAGCCAATTACCTAGCATGCCTGTGTGGTGGGTCCTTGAACAGAATAGCTGCATCGCACCGTACATTCTACAGCGGCTGTGCCCTGAGGAAACCAAAGCCAAACCTTCGCAAATGTAAATATACAATAATGGCCTGGCTATAATACGGAGACTTGGTGTCTACATGAATGGCAATTGCCATGGGATATCACGAGATGCACGTGACGCTCTTGAACTATGGTGAAGGCTTGCAAACCACAGATGTTGCACTGCAGCCTCTCAATGGCTTCTATTGACGTCAGCAATTGCCGGACAGATAGTTCCACACATCAATTGGTATGAAATTACAACCGAATTTACCTTATCACTACTCACGGGCCAGTGCAAGCATACCAATGTAAACGGGGTTTGTGGGTCGCCACTCATGCAACATCAGTTATTTGGCAGATGGCCACATGGCGCGCGAACGCCAACATCAGCTGAACACGCAGCCGCGACTGCATGCAGCTGAAGCATCAAACCGCGCCAGATCGAGAGAAGCGGGTGGGGATCACTTTTGTCCATATCCTCCCCGCTTGCTCTGGAAGGAGCTCCAGTTGCTTGGGTGTTTACTGTCGTTCAGAGCTCGATTTAGTCATCTCCTCCATCCATCATGAAGGTCCTCGTTGCTTTCCTGGTCGTATGCCTTGCAGTGGCAGTGCGGTCCCAGAGCTGCAAACAGACTACCGCCAGCGTTTGCACTGGTGACACGTACAGTTGCGCTGAGGGCTCAGTCAGTTGCAGCTCCTACTGCTTATCCGGATCTACGTATGCCAAGGTTATAGGTAAGTGCGGCCATATTGTCGCAACTCTAAGACCTCTTCCAGCAAAGCAGTCTCTTTCCATACAATTTTAAGATGCTCCTTTTCTGACTCTGTTAGCCGGACGAAATGAAAAATGCCGTTGGGGTTATAGGTGCCGCCAAGATTTTTGTTTGGTCTGTTGGGCTGGTCTTTGCGCATTTGGTGCGTACGTCGTTCAGGTCTAAGGCTGAGCGCGGACCTCCTTCCCGTTCCACTGGCAATTGCTCTGGACCAATATGCTCGACATCTGTACTGAGTAGGTTAACTTATTCTGGTATAATCCTTTTCACCACTAACTCAGCTTTTCTTTGACCTCTGCAGGAATTGGTGTCAGGACGTGGTACAAGAAGTGCTACACCGCCAGTGACGTTTCCCGCATCAACTGCGGAACCCAGAACTTCACCTGCAAGACGGATACCGCGTTCGGTTTGACCTCCTCCTACTGCTGGAGATGCTGCTTCGGTAATGACTGCAACACCGGCACTCCTCCCGCCGCCGCTGCCTCTACTCTGCAGATCATCAGCCCAATCACCATGATCATGCTCATTGCCGCCATTTTCTACTTGACCAAGTAGACTATTCCCTTCTAAAGGACATAGTAATACTGTTTGGTGTGCCGCATTGATGTGTGTCTTTTCACATCTTGCCTCTTTTTGACGGTTTTCCCCTGCCATCCCATGCCTTTTCTCCGTGGCATTAGCTGTCTGAGTTTGGCAATATAGACTGTCTTGTACATTTGTACAAAGCCACTCGGTCATGAGCTGTTTTTTTTTCTCTCACTCTTCCTGGTCTTCCCAGGTCTTGTCAATCCTGTTTGAGTCTCTACGTTATATGTTCTGACTATAATGAATGGTACAGTTTTGAGAGAGAAGCTTTCCGGTATTGAAAGTGGTCGTCGTACGGCTGGGCAGCACCCGCTGGTGCAAATTGTGGTCCAGTGCTGCAACGCAGATATGCAGCCTTGTGGATACATGCTTGCGTGCATTACAGGGTAGCTGGTTTTCCGTGGCAAAGGGCAGTGTATAAACGGACCTTGATGACTAGTTGTTTCGAGACTTTGTACAAAGGGAATTACTGAGGAGCGCCAATAAGAAGCTGCGGTATAGTATGCTTTAGCTGGACAAGGAGATGGCGAATATTTGTTATATCGCTAGAGTAGACGTCTTTATAAGCAGCTACTGTTGCACTAGTGGTAGTAGTAGTACTTGTAGTAGTAGTAGTAGTAGTAGTAGTAGTAGTAGTAGTAGTAGTAGTAGTAGTAGTAGTAGTAGTAGTAGTAGTAGTAGTAGTAGTAGTAGTAGTAGTAGTAGTAGTAGTAGTAGTAGTAGTAGTAGTCAAAGAACTTTATTGAAAATCCATGATAATGTGATCGGAAAGATGATGGAAGAAAAATCCGAACTCGAATCAAATCCAGGCAATTATTAGCAGTCACTACTATCAAAGCAGATCATTATTCACAATAGCGCAAGCGCGCGCAAAAAAAAAGTAGTAGTAGTAGTAGTAGTAGTAGTAGTAGTAGTAGTAGTAGTAGTAGTAGTAGTAGTAGTAGTAGTAGTAGTAGTAGTAGTAGTAGTAGTAGTAGTAGTAGTAGTAGTAGTAGTAGTAGTAGTAGTAGTAGTAGTAGTAGTAGTAGTAGTAGTAGTAGTAGTAGTAGTAGTAGTAGTAGTAGTAGTAGTAGTAGTAGTAGTAGTAGTAGTAGTAGTAGTAGTAGTAGTAGTAGTAGTAGTAGTAGTAGTAGTAGTAGTAGTAGTAGTAGTAGTAGTAGTAGTAGTAGTAGTAGTAGTAGTAGTAGTAGTAGTAGTAGTAGTAGTAGTAGTAGTAGTAGTAGTAGTAGTAGTAGTAGTAGTAGTAGTAGTAGTAGTAGTAGTAGTAGTAGTAGTAGTAGTAGTAGTAGTAGTAGTAGTAGTAGTAGTAGTAGTAGTAGTAGTAGTAGTAGTAGTAGTAGTAGTAGTAGTAGTAGTAGTAGTAGTAGTAGTAGTAGTAGTAGTAGTAGTAGTAGTAGTAGTAGTAGTAGTAGTAGTAGTAGTAGTAGTAGTAGTAGTAGTAGTAGTAGTAGTAGTAGTAGTAGTAGTAGTAGTAGTAGTAGTAGTAGTAGTAGTAGTAGTAGTAGTAGTAGTAGTAGTAGTAGTAGTAGTAGTAGTAGTAGTAGTAGTAGTAGTAGTAGTAGTAGTAGTAGTAGTAGTAGTAGTAGTAGTAGTAGTAGTAGTAGTAGTAGTAGTAGTAGTAGTAGTAGTAGTAGTAGTAGTAGTAGTAGTAGTAGTAGTAGTAGTAGTAGTAGTAGTAGTAGTAGTAGTAGTAGTAGTAGTAGTAGTAGTAGTAGTAGTAGTAGTAGTAGTAGTAGTAGTAGTAGTAGTAGTAGTAGTAGTAGTAGTAGTAGTAGTAGTAGTAGTAGTAGTAGTAGTAGTAGTAGTAGTAGTAGTAGTAGTAGTAGTAGTAGTAGTAGTAGTAGTAGTAGTAGTAGTAGTAGTAGTAGTAGTAGTAGTAGTAGTAGTAGTAGTAGTAGTAGTAGTAGTAGTAGTAGTAGTAGTAGTAGTAGTAGTAGTAGTAGTAGTAGTAGTAGTAGTAGTAGTAGTAGTAGTAGTAGTAGTAGTAGTAGTAGTAGTAGTAGTAGTAGTAGTAGTAGTAGTAGTAGTAGTAGTAGTAGTAGTAGTAGTAGTAGTAGTAGTAGTAGTAGTAGTAGTAGTAGTAGTAGTAGTAGTAGTAGTAGTAGTAGTAGTAGTAGTAGTAGTAGTAGTAGTAGTAGTAGTAGTAGTAGTAGTAGTAGTAGTAGTAGTAGTAGTAGTAGTAGTAGTAGTAGTAGTAGTAGTAGTAGTAGTAGTAGTAGTAGTAGTAGTAGTAGTAGTAGTAGTAGTAGTAGTAGTAGTAGTAGTAGTAGTAGTAGTAGTAGTAGTAGTAGTAGTAGTAGTAGTAGTAGTAGTAGTAGTAGTAGTAGTAGTAGTAGTAGTAGTAGTAGTAGTAGTAGTAGTAGTAGTAGTAGTAGTAGTAGTAGTAGTAGTAGTAGTAGTAGTAGTAGTAGTAGTAGTAGTAGTAGTAGTAGTAGTAGTAGTAGTAGTAGTAGTAGTAGTAGTAGTAGTAGTAGTAGTAGTAGTAGTAGTAGTAGTAGTAGTAGTAGTAGTAGTAGTAGTAGTAGTAGTAGTAGTAGTAGTAGTAGTAGTAGTAGTAGTAGTAGTAGTAGTAGTAGTAGTAGTAGTAGTAGTAGTAGTAGTAGTAGTAGTAGTAGTAGTAGTAGTAGTAGTAGTAGTAGTAGTAGTAGTAGTAGTAGTAGTAGTAGTAGTAGTAGTAGTAGTAGTAGTAGTAGTAGTAGTAGTAGTAGTAGTAGTAGTAGTAGTAGTAGTAGTAGTAGTAGTAGTAGTAGTAGTAGTAGTAGTAGTAGTAGTAGTAGTAGTAGTAGTAGTAGTAGTAGTAGTAGTAGTAGTAGTAGTAGTAGTAGTAGTAGTAGTAGTAGTAGTAGTAGTAGTAGTAGTAGTAGTAGTAGTAGTAGTAGTAGTAGTAGTAGTAGTAGTAGTAGTAGTAGTAGTAGTAGTAGTAGTAGTAGTAGTAGTAGTAGTAGTAGTAGTAGTAGTAGTAGTAGTAGTAGTAGTAGTAGTAGTAGTAGTAGTAGTAGTAGTAGTAGTAGTAGTAGTAGTAGTAGTAGTAGTAGTAGTAGTAGTAGTAGTAGTAGTAGTAGTAGTAGTAGTAGTAGTAGTAGTAGTAGTACAGTAGTAGTAGTAGTGCGGCTCATAGAGTGCGGATGGAGATTTTGCTCCTCCGCAGTTTTTTAATTGTTTTATGCACTGTCCAGGTCAACCGGTTGTTTATCCTACGTCATTACTTTCGTCTAGGTTTCGGGAGTCGGCTCCAGTAGGTTTTACCGCTGTGGAGTTGCCCAGTCTGCTATTCCTACATCCAGCTGGTGTCGTATTGCCTGGCGAACCGGCCATTGTGCTGTAGTTTCGGTGCCTTCGCCTTTGGGCCGTGGGTGAGATGGCTTGCTGTGTTGTGTTTCGCGGCTGAGTCACAGTGAGTGTTTTCCCACATGGTCTGTGGCGAGTGACATGCGAGGTGCTCTTCACACCTCGCGTCTCTTCGCCCGTGCTGCAGGCTGCATGGCATGTCACGGCGTGGGGCGTCGGCTGGGCCCTGTTGCTCCTGCAGCAAGAAAACTGGAACGTGCGGAGCATGTTCGTGCAATAGGGATGGACGATGCTGTTTCAATTGCTACCCAGGTCAAGTTGGGCGCTGCAAGAATTTTGGAAATTGTGATTTGCATGATGTTGGTGGATCAGAGGTGCCTCAAGGCCTTTCTGCTGGTGATCCGCCGGCCTGGAGTGGGCGAAGAGTGCAGCCTTCTCGATCGGGTGAGTCCGCTGCTGGCCGGACCGGTGGTGTGCCTCGCGAGGTACGGGCGACTTTGGTATCCAGGCCCCCGTCATCGGCCGCCGAACGCTCGGGTGCGGCACCGGCGCCTGAGGTCGCTGGGTCTTCCCAATCTTCTGTGTCTGCGACTGCGGTTCCGTGTGGGGAGTCACTGCGGGTGGACTTGCCTGTTCCTGTGTGCTCCGGGATGGTTCCTGATTGCGCTGCCGCCCCTTCGCCCGTGGGTGCTTCTGCTGACCCCACTGCAGCTTCCCGGGTACCTGCGTCTGCAGCGCCGACCTCTGTGGGTCCCGGCTCGTCTCGACAGCCTCAGTTTGTTGATCTGCCACCCGAGAAATGTGATTCTCCAGAACCTGATGGCTTTTGGTCGTTGCCAACAGACGATATAATCATTTTAATGGACAAAACCCATGCAGAAATAGTCAAGTGGCAACGGAATCTGTTTATCATACCTTTCGGGGATGAGGGTCGTCGGTTCGTCAAGGAACTAGCTCGCCTGATTGGTCTTTTCAGCGGCGGAACTCGCGACGGAGCTTTTGCATGGTCGGCTGTGGTCATTGCTTGCCATCTGATTTTGCAGCGGCCTTTTGTAGTATCCAATGCCTCTGACAACAAGAAATCGTTACGCAAGCGTCTTGACTGGTGGATGTGTGGAGACATGGCTGCATTGCTGCGTGAGGCACGGTGCATTCAAGCCCATCTACCCAGATCAACACCTGGCAAAACAGCAGCTAATGGTCTGGATGACGTCGAGTTCGCAAAAATGGTATACAGCGACCGCATTGGAACAGCTGCTCACTACCTGGAGGATGATGGTGGTGGTGGCGTACTCCCGTTGGACAAGATTGTGGGTGGCAAGTCGGTACTGGAATTGTTGAGAGACAAGCATCCTGTTCCGGCTGATGCAGAACCAGAGATTCTACTCGATGATGAAGCCACAGTCCAGGAGAATGTGCTGTTTGATTCAATAACACCAGCTCAAATCCGCAAGACCTGCATGATTATGAAGGGGGCAGCGGGTCCGTCAGGCCTTGACTCCGCTGCCTGGCGTCGGATGGCCTCAATGTATACATCAGCTTCTGACGACCTGTGCTCGGCTCTGGCTCGTGCTGCCAAGCGTCTTTGCACTGAGGCAATTGAGCCGCGGGATCTCCGCTCATTCCTGGCAGCAAGGCTCATTCCATTGGATAAGCAGCCTGGGGTAAGGCCTATAGCCATCGGGGAGGTGTTTCGCCGCGTGATCGGGAAAGTGGTCATGTCGGTTATCGAGAGGGATGTGGCTGCGGTTACTGCTCCTCATCAGCTGTGCGTCGGCGTCCCGTCGGCTTGCGAGGTCGGGGTGCAGGCTTTGACCGGCCTCTATGACCGCGAGACGACTCAAGGTATTCTGCTGGTGGATGCGTCCAACGCCTTCAATTCTCTGAACAGGGCCGCGGCGCTGCACAACATTCCAAGAATCTGTCCTGCCGCTGGGCGAATTTTCATTAACACCTACCAGGCCGACATCCCTCTATACCTCAATGGCGGAGAGGTCATTTATTCCCGGGAGGGTACATGCCAAGGGGATCCTCTTGCCATGGCGTTCTACGCTCTCGCGACTGTGCCCCTGGCATCTCGGCTGTCGCGTCGACTTCCAAGCACCAGCCAGATTTGGTACGCGGATGACGATGCCGCAGCCGGAGAGCTCCTGCCGCTGCGTGGGTATTGGGATTGCATCGTGGAGGAGGGGCCCCGGTATGGCTACCACCCCAATGCCATGAAGACGGTTTTACTCGTCCGTCCACATTTAATGGAAAGGGCCCAGGAGGTATTTGCCGGCACTGATGTCCGTATCCGGAGCGACGGCGTTCGTTACCTTGGCGGGGCCATTGGAGACCAACAGTTCCGAGAGAATTTTGTGAAGAGCCGTGTTGAGGAACTGTCCACATTGGTTAGGCGCCTTGCTGGTCTGGCTGTCACCCAGCCTCAGGCGGCCTTTCGCGTCTTCTCTGCCTCTCTGCAGTCCCGTTGGACCTATCTGCAGCGTGCAGTCTTTGTGGACCCTGTCCTGTATACGCCACTGGATGACGTCATCAACAAACATCTGCTGCCAGCATTGACAGGCCATCCTCTTGCGGCTGATGGTGTACTCCGTCAGCTCTTTGCAATGCCTGTGAGGAATGGAGGGCTGGCTGTCCGCATTGGCAGTTTGCGTGCGGAGGCTGAGTACCTCCTTTGCCGGACGTCGATAATGCCCATGGTGGATTGCGTGCTGACTGGTGCTGTCGATGGTCCTGATGCTATCGACGGTCCTGTTGCCGATATCATCGCTGCCTCCAGGGGTTTGGCCACGCAGGCTCGCCGGGAACGCCGGGCGCAGCACAATGCTGCATTGGAGGAGATCAGGCCCGCTCTGACGGATGAGCAGCGCCTACTAGTGGATGTCGCGGGTGACGGCGGTGTGTCAACGTGGCTGGTTACGCCTCCATCGGCTTCATTTCCTTTAACTATATTCAACAAGTCTGATTTTCGAGACGCATTGTGCCTGAGGTATGGCCTGCCGTTTGATGGCATATCATTATCCTGTGTTTGTGGCCAAGACATGTCAGTTCATCACGCCCTCACGTGCCCAAGCGGGGGATACCCTACCCAGAGACACAATGAACTTCGCGACCTCCTAGCGGACGCACTCGCTAGTGTTGTTTGCGATGTCGAGATTGAGCCACCGCTGATGCCGTTGGGTGGTGAAGCCGTCTCTGGGGGCTCAGCTGACGGTGCTCGTGTGGATATACGGGCTCGTGGCTTCTGGACCAGGCAGCAAAACGCCTTTTTTGATGTACGGGTCACGCACCCAAGGCCGTCTTTGCTGTCTGGACCAGAAGTGTCGAGGCAGTTATCCCAACACGAGCGTCAGAAGAAACGTCAGTATTCCGATCGAATCAACCAGGTGGATCGAGGATCGTTCACTCCGCTTGTTTTCGCCACCAGTGGACAGTGTGCTCCCGAATGTGGCATCTTCCTCAAGACCCTCGCAACACAATTGCACCATAAGAACTCGGACATACCGTATCGTCTCATCATCAGCCACTTGCGCTCGAGAATCAGTCTATCTCTGATGCGGTGGCAGATTACTTGCTTCCGGGGGTCACGTGCATCATACCTACGCAGTGGATCCGGCATTGGCCGACATTGCTTTGTAACGGAGTGCCGTACATTGGCTCATATGCCGCGCTGACGGGCATCAATGGACTTGCCATAATATTGTCATTGGTTTCATTCTGTCTCAGAGTGTTCTGTTGTATTTGTTTTCGTTTTAAAAGCGTTTGAGCGGTTGGGTGAATGGAAACGTCACCGTACTGGTAGTAGCGATGCTTGGATGGTGTTTGCGGGTTTGCTCTTTGTTTTTGTATTCCCTAGTTGGCTTGATTCTTTTATTTTATTTTATTTTCTGATTGGATTTTCCTATTTATTTGATTTGATTTTTCTTGAATGGTTTTGTCACCATTGCTTTTCTTGCTTGCGCTTTTCAGTTTCTTCTTTCTGATACCCGGTTTGTTTTCAAATAAAGGCGAAGTTCAGTAGTAGTAGTAGTAGTAGTAGTAGTAGTAGTAGTAGTAGTAGTAGTAGTAGTAGTAGTAGTAGTAGTAGTAGTAGTAGTAGTAGTAGTAGTAGTAGTAGTAGTAGTAGTAGTAGTAGTAGTAGTAGTAGTAGTAGTAGTAGTAGTAGTAGTAGTAGTAGTAGTAGTAGTAGTAGTAGTAGTAGTAGTAGTAGTAGTAGTAGTAGTAGTAGTAGTAGTAGTAGTAGTAGTAGTAGTAGTAGTAGTAGTAGTAGTAGTAGTAGTAGTAGTAGTAGTAGTAGTAGTAGTAGTAGTAGTAGTAGTAGTAGTAGTAGTAGTAGTAGTAGTAGTAGTAGTAGTAGTAGTAGTAGTAGTAGTAGTAGTAGTAGTAGTAGTAGTAGTAGTAGTAGTAGTAGTAGTAGTAGTAGTAGTAGTAGTAGTAGTAGTAGTAGTAGTAGTAGTAGTAGTAGTAGTAGTAGTAGTAGTAGTAGTAGTAGTAGTAGTAGTAGTAGTAGTAGTAGTAGTAGTAGTAGTAGTAGTAGTAGTAGTAGTAGTAGTAGTAGTAGTAGTAGTAGTAGTAGTAGTAGTAGTAGTAGTAGTAGTAGTAGTAGTAGTAGTAGTAGTAGTAGTAGTAGTAGTAGTAGTAGTAGTAGTAGTAGTAGTAGTAGTAGTAGTAGTAGTAGTAGTAGTAGTAGTAGTAGTAGTAGTAGTAGTAGTAGTAGTAGTAGTAGTAGTAGTAGTAGTAGTAGTAGTAGTAGTAGTAGTAGTAGTAGTAGTAGTAGTAGTAGTAGTAGTAGTAGTAGTAGTAGTAGTAGTAGTAGTAGTAGTAGTAGTAGTAGTAGTAGTAGTAGTAGTAGTAGTAGTAGTAGTAGTAGTAGTAGTAGTAGTAGTAGTAGTAGTAGTAGTAGTAGTAGTAGTAGTAGTAGTAGTAGTAGTAGTAGTAGTAGTAGTAGTAGTAGTAGTTCATTCTGTCTCAGAGTGTTCTGTTGTATTTGTTTTCGTTTTAAAAGCGTTTGAGCGGTTGGGTGAATGAAAACGTCACCGTACTGGTAGTAGCGATGCTTGGATGGTGTTTGCGGGTTTGCTCTTTGTTTTTGTATTCCCTAGTTGGCTTGATTCTTTTATTTTATTTTATTTTCTGATTGGATTTTCCTATTTATTTGATTTGATTTTTCTTGAATGGTTTTGTCACCATTGCTTTTCTTGCTTGCGCTTTTCAGTTTCTTCTTTCTGATACCCGGTTTGTTTTCAAATAAAGGCGAAGTTCAGTAGTAGTAGTAGTAGTAGTAGTAGTAGTAGTAGTAGTAGTAGTAGTAGTAGTAGTAGTAGTAGTAGTAGTAGTAGTAGTAGTAGCAACACAACTGCACCATAAGAACTCGGACATACCGTATCGTCTCATCATCAGCCACTTGCGCTCGAGAATCAGTCTATCTCTGATGCGGTGGCAGATTACTTGCTTCCGGGGGTCACGTGCATCATACCTACGCAGTGGATCCGGCATTGGCCGACATTGCTTTGTAACGGAGTGCCGTACATTGGCTCATATGCCGCGCTGACGGGCATCAATGGACTTGCCATAATATTGTCATTGGTTTCATTCTGTCTCAAAGTGTTCTGTTGTATTTGTTTTCGTTTTAAAAGCGTTTGAGCGGTTGGGTGAATGAAAACGTCACCGTACTGGTAGTAGCGATGCTTGGATGGTGTTTGCGGGTTTGCTCTTTGTTTTTGTATTCCCTAGTTGGCTTGATTCTTTTATTTTATTTTATTTTCTGATTGGATTTTCCTATTTATTTGATTTGATTTTTCTTGAATGGTTTTGTCACCATTGCTTTTCTTGCTTGCGCTTTTCAGTTTCTTCTTTCTGATACCCGGTTTGTTTTCAAATAAAGGCGAAGTTCAGTAGTAGTAGTAGTAGTAGTAGTAGTAGTAGTAGTAGTAGTAGTAGTAGTAGTAGTAGTAGTAGTAGTAGTAGTAGTAGTAGTAGTAGTAGTAGTAGTAGTAGTAGTAGTAGTAGTAGTAGTAGTAGTAGTAGTAGTAGTAGTAGTAGTAGTAGTAGTAGTAGTAGTAGTAGTAGTAGTAGTAGTAGTAGTAGTAGTAGTAGTAGTAGTAGTAGTAGTAGTAGTAGTAGTAGTAGTAGTAGTAGTAGTAGTAGTAGTAGTAGTAGTAGTAGTAGTAGTAGTAGTAGTAGTAGTAGTAGTAGTAGTAGTAGTAGTAGTAGTAGTAGTAGTAGTAGTAGTAGTAGTAGTAGTAGTAGTAGTAGTAGTAGTAGTAGTAGTAGTAGTAGTAGTAGTAGTAGTAGTAGTAGTAGTAGTAGTAGTAGTAGTAGTAGTAGTAGTAGTAGTAGTAGTAGTAGTAGTAGTAGTAGTAGTAGTAGTAGTAGTAGTAGTAGTAGTAGTAGTAGTAGTAGTAGTAGTAGTAGTAGTAGTAGTAGTAGTAGTAGTAGTAGTAGTAGTAGTAGTAGTAGTAGTAGTAGTAGTAGTAGTAGTAGTAGTAGTAGTAGTAGTAGTAGTAGTAGTAGTAGTAGTAGTAGTAGTAGTAGTAGTAGTAGTAGTAGTAGTAGTAGTAGTAGTAGTAGTAGTAGTAGTAGTAGTAGTAGTAGTAGTAGTAGTAGTAGTAGTAGTAGTAGTAGTAGTAGTAGTAGTAGTAGTAGTAGTAGTAGTAGTAGTAGTAGTAGTAGTAGTAGTAGTAGTAGTAGTAGTAGTAGTAGTAGTAGTAGTAGTAGTAGTAGTAGTAGTAGTAGTAGTAGTAGTAGTAGTTGTAGTAATTGAGTGACTGTATGCCTGCACGACACTTGAGTTGTTTCAGTTGTCGTTGCAGCTTTGGTGGACTCTACTGATGTCTTGTTCCGCATCTGCTGTCCTGTCGCAGGATATGCTTCGGTCACCTCTCCATTCGAGTGAAAGTTACGCTCAGTCGTTTCGAAGTTTTCTCCCGCGATGCAGCGAAGACCAGGGCTACTTGCAATCTTTGCAAACCGGTCTATTCTTACAAAGGCTAATCGACGACGGCGCTGAAAAGACATCTCGACACCAAACAGCAGTCCGAAGTGAAGCAGCAGCAACCCCAAATGCCGGCGGTGATAATTCATGTAATTTGAACCTGCTGAAAAAAATCGAACTCAGAAAAAAAATATTCAAAAAAATAATCATATTTGCCACATCAATGAAACTCGTTAGCTCGCTCGATAGCTTGCTCGTTAGTGGAACTGATCGCTCGTTTGTTATAGATACGCTCGTTTCAACACTACAAAACAAAGACATGCTCAAAAACAGATATGTCCGTTACGTCACAACATCCGTTTAGGATCGGCCACACAGCCCCATGCCACTACCGGAGCAGCCTGCACTCCGTGACAAACGAATTGCCACGGCGTACGCCCCGAGCTCCCCGGCATCCACGCAGACAGGTTACGGCCCAGCGGAGGAGGCAGAACCTGCACTCCGTGACAAACGAATTGCCACGGCGTACGCCCCGAGCTCCCCGGCATCCACGCAGACAGGTTACGGCCCAGCGGAGGAGGCAGAAGGCAATCTTGGCACGAAGATGGTGCATGAGAATAGTAGTTCCGAACTGCATGGATGCAAATTCCGTTGCTCCTCATTATTATTATTACAGAGAATAGTAGTTCCGAACTGCATGGATGCAATTTCCGTTGCTCCTCATTATTATTATTACAGAGAATAGTAGTTCCGAACTGCATGGATGCAAATTCCGTTGCTCCTCATTAATCGGACTTTCAGAGCATGACTAAGAGGATCTATCTAATGCCGACCTTGCCATCCTCGGCTTTGACGAACTTCGTGACCTGGCCAAGAAAAATGAAATCTCGGTCACCAGCAATATTAACCGTGCTGCCATAGTCCGCCTGCTACGCCAACACGGGATCGGTAATGCAGGTCAGTCACATGTACATACTAGTAGTAATAGTCAAGCAAGTGCTGGCATTGATGAGTTGGCCAAGACAGTGCAGGAACTAGTTCGCCAGATGTCCGCCATTGTAGACCTGAAAGCGGAAGTTGAGTCTCTCCATTGCCAGCTAGCAGACGTTAGTTTAAAATCACAAACCCATGCACCTATCCCGCCCACCCAACCTACCGGTATGCCTTTTGATCACCATGAACCTACATGTACGAGTAGTTCCCCATCCGATCCACAGCATTTGAATTCCACCGTAGCACCAGCCCCACGTTCACAGCAGCAGCATTTGAATCCCAACGCACCCGTACAGTTTGAACAGAGGCTCACAAACACTCGTCCGCTCTACAGCGCCCAACTGATGAGCCTGCCACACCGTAGTACTCCACCGCCATCATTCCAACGTCCAGCTGACCAAACACCCACACCGTACACGCACAGTTCAGTCACATCATACTTCCACAAGACAAAGAAGTCAACACAGGGTCTCCTACGCGGTGGTTCCCGTGTAAGGTGCAAAGCGCTCCACGTCAGCAACATAGACAGCGGCTGCCATGCTGAGGCAATAGCTAAGTGGTGCGCAAACAAAGATGTTCACATCATCAAATGCTCCGTGGCTGAAACACGCTATTTTGGACTGGCTTATGCCCATGTTGTGATTCCTGAAGAGCACTTCACCACGGTCCAACGTGATGATTTCTGGCCTGCCTCCGTACGTGTTCGCGAATGGCGCTTCTCCTCTGACAGTGTAGGTAAATAAGCAGTACTTGCATCCTAAATCCCAACGCTCTCCCCTTCAACCCACACCCTCCAACTACTTCAACCGTTTCCTCGAGCCTGGACTCTACACTAAATGTTTTTGCACAGCCCTTCCAACCTAACTCCAGCTCCTCTAACCATTCTACTCAATCTTCTTCCCACGTGTCTGTTGCGGTGATAAATGCACGCTCAATAAACAACAAACTCGGTGAACTCTCCATCCTTTGTAATGCCAAGAAGCCTGACATTATCTGCATCACCGAAACTTGGCTCACCACCAACCATACCTTACACTTGCCGAACTATGCAGTATTCCGCCGTGACCGACCGCAAACTCCCTCTAACCCTGACCCCTTCAGAGGCTATGGGGGTGTTGCCATCCTGGTGCTCACTACCGCCTTCAGCAAAGTGAGAGAGATTCACTCATTTCGGCAACAGAACTTTGAAGCAATTGCTATTGAAGCTACTCCCATAGGTTCATTCCAACCACTGTCGTTTGCCTGCTTGTATAGACCCCCTAACCAGCCCGCTGCTGACCTACAATATTTTGTAGATACTCTGCGGACTGCTCTCATTAAGCTACCTGCTCCATCATCTACCATTGTAACTGGTGATTTTAATGCCCATTGCCAGAGCTGGTGTGCCTCCGACTCAACATCTGCTGCAGGCTCTGCCTTGTGTAACCTTTTTCGCTCCATAGCACTGTCTCAACTTGTTACGTTCCACCCATCTTACATCCAATGGGCCCCGTGGCTGCCTGGACCTAGTCGCCACAAACATTCCCGAGAGGTTCACATCCATTGAATCCCTGAGCCCCCTGGGTGCCTCCGATCACTTAATCATCCTCGGCAGGCTCTCCATAGCTAAAGACATAGCACAGTCTCGAGAGTCCACATCTGACACTGCACCGCCTCGCTTCAGCCATCACTTGCTCACTCAATCGCAATGGGAAGGCGTCAATGCTGAAATTGCCGCAACTCACTGGAGTGACCTTTTATGCGGCCTTGATATTGATACAGCCGTTTCTAACTTCTCGTCTGTCCTCGAATCGTCTCTCTCAGTCTGCTCTTCTCACCGCGATTACCAGTCAACCACCAGAAACCGAAGCCGCCCTTCACGCCAGGATCCACCATGGATGACACCAGTGCTCAGGGCAGGCATTAAGAGAAAGCATGACCTCTACAGCATCTATAAAAATACCCTACCCCGTCCAATGCAACGCAGTACAAACGTCAGCGGAATATAGCAAAAACGTTATCACGTGTAGCCCATAAAGAATACATCCAGTCCATTACTACTTCTCTCACCGACAGCCAGCGTCCATCACTTCACTCATTTATAAGAACTCTTCGTAAATCAGCATCGTCATTGGGCTCTAGTCCAACAGCAATCACACGGTCTGACCAAAGTTCCGCCACTGCGCCTCTTGATATCGCGGATGCTCTGAATGAGCAGTTTACCAGCTTCTGCGTTAAGGATAGACCTGAATGGTTAGTTCCTCCTATCCACCAAATACCTGTAGAGTCAACGTTTACATCGCTGACGATTTCATCTCGTACTGTAACCAGATACATACGCAGTCTCCCCAATAAGAAGTCTCCTGGTTACGATGGTATACCAAACGAAATCCTGAAACACCTCCAAGACAGCCTAGCATATCCGTTATCGCTGCTCTTTAACATCTCTCTGTCGTCTGGAATCTTTCCCTCCGCATGGAAATACGCATTAGTGGTCCCAATTTATAAGCGCAAAGGCTGCCGGTCGGATGCAACGAACTACAGACCCATTTCCCTACTGTGCTGTATTTCAAAGCTGTTTGAGCGCATTGTGTACGATCAGCTATATCGACACTTGTCCCCGTACTTGCATACCATGCAGTCTGGTTTCCGGCGAGGGGACTCCACAGCTCTGCACCTAGTCCACCTAATCCAAAACATCATGCAGTCCCGACATTTGAAAGAACATACTGGCATGTGCTTCTTTGACCTGGCGAAAGCCTTTGACACTGTTTGGCATAGAGGCCTGATTGCCAAGTTGGGTGCCTATGGCATTGGTGGCAACCTGCTTGTTTCTTTGAAAGCTACCTAACTGACAGGCTACAGGCTGTACGCGTCGGCAACACCCTCTCGTCTCCCCAGGCAATTAATTCTGGTGTGCCACAGGGGTCAATCCTGGGGCCACTATTCTTTTTAGTCTACGTCAATGATCTACCGATGTCTGTCCCTAATGTTTCACTGTTCGCCGATGACACCACAGTTTCCGCTTCAAGTAGTTGCAAGCAATTGCTAGTCAATGACCTCCAGAAAAAGATAAACTCCACCATTTCTTGGATGTCGACTTGGAAGCTGAGACCGAACACTAGTAAGACCAAAGTGATGTTCTTCTGTAGCGGTGCTAGTGATCAGTTCTGCAATGTGTCTTTATCATGTCCTGGCAGCTCATCGACCATAGAAATTGTCCATGAACATAAGCACCTTGGTATAATTATTGACGACTGTCTAACATGGGCTCCTCATGTAGACTATATTTGCAAGAAAACTAGTAGTGTTCTCGGCATACTATATCCTCATCGTTCTCATTTGCCAAATACATGCCGTTCTATGTTTTATCGCTCGTATCTATTACCTATTTTCCAGTATGCATGTCAGTCTTGGTGTAGTCTAAGTCAACATCTTGTGAACAAACTTGAAATCCAACATAAATCTCTTCTTAAAATATTGTTTAACAAGCAGCGTTTATTTCCTAGTCTTGAGCTCTATTGTATCAGCAATACTCAGCCACTGCAAGATAATCGCAAACAGCAGCTTTGCGTTTTGATCCACAGAATTCGCCTAGGTAAAATTCCCATTCATCTCTCCGTATTCAATTGGTTTTCTCTGTCCCGGTCCACTCGTAATAGTCTCTCACTTCCCCGTGCTAATTCAGCCGCATTTACCAACTCTCCTCTGTTTTTGTCCTACAGCCTTTGGCTGCAACTTCCCCAGCATGTTAAAAAGACATCAAAATGTCTTTCCAGCTTTAAAAATGCACTCCGATCGCATAATGTAGTACGATAGGATCTCATTGCTGGATTCTTGTCTATCCTTCTTTCTTCTCTTTTTCTATATTCCTTTCTTTTCTTTTCTTGCCGTGGTTGGCTATCACCCCTCTCTCGCACTTTGCGTGCCAATTGGTCATGAACCACGAGTTGAGTGAAATAAATAAATAAATAAATGACGACGGAGTACTGTAGGTCAGAGTGCTTCTCCACCACGCGCTGAACAAGCCGCGTAGTAGTAGTAGTAGTAGTAGTAGTAGTAGTAGTAGTAGTAGTAGTAGTAGTAGTAGTAGTAGTAGTAGTAGTAGTAGTAGTAGTAGTAGTAGTAGTAGTAGTAGTAGTAGTAGTAGTAGTAGTAGTAGTAGTAGTAGTAGTAGTAGTAGTAGTAGTAGTAGTAGTAGTAGTAGTAGTAGTAGTAGTAGTAGTAGTAGTAGTAGTAGTAGTAGTAGTAGTAGTAGTAGTAGTAGTAGTAGTAGTAGTAGTAGTAGTAGTAGTAGTAGTAGTAGTAGTAGTAGTAGTAGTAGTAGTAGTAGTAGTAGTAGTAGTAGTAGTAGTAGTAGTAGTAGTAGTAGTAGTAGTAGTAGTAGTAGTAGTAGTAGTAGTAGTAGTAGTAGTAGTAGTAGTAGTAGTAGTAGTAGTAGTAGTAGTAGTAGTAGTAGTAGTAGTAGTAGTAGTAGTAGTAGTAGTAGTAGTAGTAGTAGTAGTAGTAGTAGTAGTAGTAGTAGTAGTAGTAGTAGTAGTAGTAGTAGTAGTAGTAGTAGTAGTAGTAGTAGTAGTAGTAGTAGTAGTAGTAGTAGTAGTAGTAGTAGTAGTAGTAGTAGTAGTAGTAGTAGTAGTAGTAGTAGTAGTAGTAGTAGTAGTAGTAGTAGTAGTAGTAGTAGTAGTAGTAGTAGTAGTAGTAGTAGTAGTAGTAGTAGTAGTAGTAGTAGTAGTAGTAGTAGTAGTAGTAGTAGTAGTAGTAGTAGTAGTAGTAGTAGTAGTAGTAGTAGTAGTAGTAGTAGTAGTAGTAGTAGTAGTAGTAGTAGTAGTAGTAGTAGTAGTAGTAGTAGTAGTAGTAGTAGTAGTAGTAGTAGTAGTAGTAGTAGTAGTAGTAGTAGTAGTAGTAGTAGTAGTAGTAGTAGTAGTAGTAGTAGTAGTAGTAGTAGTAGTAGTAGTAGTAGTAGTAGTAGTAGTAGTAGTAGTAGTAGTAGTAGTAGTAGTAGTAGTAGTAGTAGTAGTAGTAGTAGTAGTAGTAGTAGTAGTAGTAGTAGTAGTAGTAGTAGTAGTAGTAGTAGTAGTAGTAGTAGTAGTAGTAGTAGTAGTAGTAGTAGTAGTAGTAGTAGTAGTAGTAGTAGTAGTAGTAGTAGTAGTAGTAGTAGTAGTAGTAGTAGTAGTAGTAGTAGTAGTAGTAGTAGTAGTAGTAGTAGTAGTAGTAGTAGTAGTAGTAGTAGTAGTAGTAGTAGTAGTAGTAGTAGTAGTAGTAGTAGTAGTAGTAGTAGTAGTAGTAGTAGTAGTAGTAGTAGTAGTAGTAGTAGTAGTAGTAGTAGTAGTAGTTTCTCAGTATTGCATCACCTCCACCCAGGAGCTGTGAGGTATTAGCTCCGGAGCCAGTTTTCACGCAATGTCCTGTGTTCATCATGCCTAAATGCTGCAAGTGTAACGCATTGGGCTCTTGTGCCAATTGCAGCTGCGCAAAGAATAGTGTCAGTTGTGACAATTGCGTCCCGCTTTCAAAGGGGAGATGCAGAAACACTAACTTTAGCAAGGCGCCGAGAAGTTGCGCCTCCGTTGCAGCGCCAGATGGTACTCAGCCTGCACTAGCTGGTAGTGGACAAACAGCCTCTACGAGGACACAGGACCTCCAGTCAGCATCAGCCTCTGCTTTGGCATGCAGCCAATCATTGCCTTCTACTGCGGACGTTAATCTTCTGGCATTTCTCGATTCAACGCAGTCGTTAACCACCGATGCATCGCAGCCTGAGGCCAGCTCACAGAAGATGTCAATGCAGGAGTTGCGGCAGGCGTCGCAGCATCCAGACTCTCCGATCCCAGCCGTGTCGCAGCGGCCAACGTCTACCACCCCGTCTACACCGCTGGCCAGTCAGCCCCAGCCACAGCAGCCGGCACGAGACAACTCCAGTACAGAAGCGGCGCACGATTTGGGCCCTTTGCCGACTGCTCCTGAGGGTCAACCAGACAGCCTACAGGGGGCGTATGAAGAGTGTGTGACTTGGAGGAGAAATTTGTTTATTGTTCCCTTCGGAGCGGCCGGGAAGCAATTTGTTGAGGAAATTGCACGACTGGTTCGCAGTTTTCCGACGCGGCGCCCAACCGTGAACGAGCCTGGACATCAATAGCTGTCGCGTGCCACCTCCTGTTGCAGAAACCGCACGGACAGGGCTCCTCCTCCGAACACGGAACTCACCTGACGCGTCGACTTGCTGTTTGGAAGTCAGGAGACATCAACACCCTGCTGCGTGAATGCCGATGCATCCAGGCGCATCTTCCGGCACACCATACCCGGAACGTCGACCAGTCAGGCCAAATTGACGACACCTTGTTTTCAAAACTCGTATGTTCTGGGAAAACGCAGTCAGCCATTCGGATGGTTTGCTCCAGTGGCTCGGGTGGAGTGTTGTCAATGAGCGACACTGTCAGCGGCAGCCCAGGTTCAACAGTACGTGACATTCTGCTTGATAAGCATCCCCAGCCTGCTGTACCTCCGGATGACGCTCTCTTGCAGGGGCATGACGCGGCTACCCCTCAAGATCCGATCCTTTTTGCCAGGCTCACAGGAGCGCTGATCAAGCAGATAAGTCGTCAAATGTCCGGAGCGGCCGGTCCATCGGGCCTGGACTCTGATGCGTGGAAACGCATGTTGACCTGCTTCGCTGCAGCGTCTGACCAGCTCTGTGCGGCAATGGCAGAAGCAGGAAAACGCTTATGCACCCAGGAAGTCCCACCAGAAGAGCTAAGTTCGTTCACTGCGGCCCGCCTCATCCCACTGGACAAGCAACCGGGGGTGCGCCCTATCGCTGTTGGGGAGGTTTTCCGGAGACTAATAGGCAAAGCTGTGATGAAGATAATTCAGTATGACGCCATGCACGCCACAGCCCCTCGTCAACTCTGTGTTGGTGTTCCGTCTGGGTGTGAAGCTGCCGTGCATACGATGACCGACATGCTTGTCTCGCCGGAGGTGGAGGGTGTGCTCTTGGTCGATGCCACCAACGCTTTCAACGCTATGAACCGCACAGCAGCCCTACACAACGTGCCACTCGTCTGCCCTGCCCTGGGGCAGGTGTTCAAGAACACCTACAGCAGTCCATGCCGCCCCTACAGCAGTCCATGCCGCCTGTTTGTGTCGGGTGGTGGAGAGATAAGGAGTCAGGAGGGTACCTGCCAAGGTGATCCTCTCGCCATGGCGATATACGCGGTCGCCATGATGCCATTGATAGACAAGCTGTCAGAGTGCTGCCCCGACGTGGTGCAGCTATGGTATGCTGATGACGATGCTGGTGGCGGACAGCTCCTCAATCTAAGGCAGTACTGGGATGGGATTCTGGAGCATGGCCCTGGGTATGGGTACTACCCTAACGCGAACAAGACAACACTAATTGTCAAGGAGCAGCATTCGGCCCTGGCACTCCAGCTTTTCAGGGACACGGGCATTCGTGTTGTGACCGAGGGTGCTCGTTATCTTGGCGGCGCACTCGGTACAACGGTCTTCTGTGAGGAGTATATCACAGATTTGATCGACAAGTGGACGCTGCAGGTTGATCGCCTGGCGGAGGTGGCCACCACTCAGCCACATGCTGCGTACGAGGTGTTTGTAAAGGGCCTCGTGTCCAAGTGGCGCTACCACTTGCGCGTCCTATCTTGCCCTGCGCATCTTCTGGCCCGTCTCGACGCCGCCATTACGGACAAGCTGCTGCCAGCGCTCAGCGGCCATTCGTGTTCGGACGAGTCGGCACTGAGAAAGTTGCTATCGCTACCAGCGCGGTTTGGTGGCATGGCAATCCCTGTGCCCTCGGTGGAGGCCGAGAAAGAGTTTTCTGCATCCAGACAGATTGTGGCTCCTGTGGCGGCCTGCATAAGACCACCAGAACATCCAACCAGCACCAACGAAACTACTCAAACAGACCAGCTGAACGAGGCAATAGCCCTCAGCCGGCAGGAGGCCGGGCGTATTCGCAGAGAGAAAGCTGCCCAAGCCACGGGTCTCGTTAGCGAATTGCGCCCGGATTTGACAGCAACACAGGCGCTGTTGGTGGAGAATGCCGCGGAAAAGGGCGTATCATCTTGGGTAACGGCGGAACCATCGTCCCAAATGCAGATGGTGCTGAACAAATCGGATTTCCGAGATGCGTTCTGCATCCGCTACGGCCTGCAGCCTGACGGACTCCCCCTGACTTGTGTATGTGGTGCTGCAAACACAATAGACCATGCGATGATGTGTCCGGCAGGGGGCTACCCCATGGCACGCCACAATGAGATCCGGGACTTGTTGGCTGACGTGATGCGTGAGGCGGTCCGGGATGTGGAGGTGGAACCGCCTCTACTACCATATGATGGTGAGCGGCTCCAAGGGAGGACAGCCAACCGCTCGGCAGGTGCCCGCCTGGACATCCGGGCTTGTGGCTTCTGGACGAGACAGCAAGATGCCTTTTTCGACATCCGGGTTACACACCCAAAGGCAAGCTTGCTGTCGCGTCAGGAAGTCATCAGCCAGCTCCGAACGCATGAACGGATGAAGAAGCGCCAGTACGGAGAGCGGGTGACAGCAGTTGACAGAGGTACGTTTACACCGCTAGTTTTTTCTACCTCGGGCATGATTGGCAGAGAATGTTCAATGGCACTGAAGACACTGGCATGCCTGATTGCTGAGAAGAACGTCGACCTACACGTATCGGTTATCATGGGTCAGCTCCGTTGTAAGCTGTCAGTCTGCCTTATGCGATGGGCAGTCACCTGTTTGCGTGGTTCAAGATCGTCATACCGCCGAAACAGAATGAATTTCACGACGATGTGCAGGTTGCGGGCAGCCTGAGCGTGAGTACCTGACAGACATTTGCCCAACATTGCCCCATGATAATGAATTCTTGAGTTTTTGGACATTGTATTGCATTGCTGCTCCATCTACATGGCTGTATTTGTGTTTCACATCTCCATTTCAAGTTTCCTAATAAAGATTGTGTCAAGTAGTAGTAGTAGTAGTAGTAGTAGTAGTAGTAGTAGTAGTAGTAGTAGTAGTAGTAGTAGTAGTAGTAGTAGTAGTAGTAGTAGTAGTAGTAGTAGTAGTAGTAGTAGTAGTAGTAGTAGTAGTAGTAGTAGTAGTAGTAGTAGTAGTAGTAGTAGTAGTAGTAGTAGTAGTAGTAGTAGTAGTAGTAGTAGTAGTAGTAGTAGTAGTAGTAGTAGTAGTAGTAGTAGTAGTAGTAGTAGTAGTAGTAGTAGTAGTAGTAGTAGTAGTAGTAGTAGTAGTAGTAGTAGTAGTAGTAGTAGTAGTAGTAGTAGTAGTAGTAGTAGTAGTAGTAGTAGTAGTAGTAGTAGTAGTAGTAGTAGTAGTAGTAGTAGTAGTAGTAGTAGTAGTAGTAGTAGTAGTAGTAGTAGTAGTAGTAGTAGTAGTAGTAGTAGTAGTAGTAGTAGTAGTAGTAGTAGTAGTAGTAGTAGTAGTAGTAGTAGTAGTAGTAGTAGTAGTAGTAGTAGTAGTAGTAGTAGTAGTAGTAGTAGTAGTAGTAGTAGTAGTAGTAGTAGTAGTAGTAGTAGTAGTAGTAGTAGTAGTAGTAGTAGTAGTAGTAGTAGTAGTAGTAGTAGTAGTAGTAGTAGTAGTAGTAGTAGTAGTAGTAGTAGTAGTAGTAGTAGTAGTAGTAGTAGTAGTAGTAGTAGTAGTAGTAGTAGTAGTAGTAGTAGTAGTAGTAGTAGTAGTAGTAGTAGTAGTAGTAGTAGTAGTAGTAGTAGTAGTAGTAGTAGTAGTAGTAGTAGTAGTAGTAGTAGTAGTAGTAGTAGTAGTAGTAGTAGTAGTAGTAGTAGTAGTAGTAGTAGTAGTAGTAGTAGTAGTAGTAGTAGTAGTAGTAGTAGTAGTAGTAGTAGTAGTAGTAGTAGTAGTAGTAGTAGTAGTAGTAGTAGTAGTAGTAGTAGTAGTAGTAGTAGTAGTAGTAGTAGTAGTAGTAGTAGTAGTAGTAGTAGTAGTAGTAGTAGTAGTAGTAGTAGTAGTAGTAGTAGTAGTAGTAGTAGTAGTAGTAGTAGTAGTAGTAGTAGTAGTAGTAGTAGTAGTAGTAGTAGTAGTAGTAGTAGTAGTAGTAGTAGTAGTAGTAGTAGTAGTAGTAGTAGTAGTAGTAGTAGTAGTAGTAGTAGTAGTAGTAGTAGTAGTAGTAGTAGTAGTAGTAGTAGTAGTAGTAGTAGTAGTAGTAGTAGTAGTAGTAGTAGTAGTAGTAGTAGTAGTAGTAGTAGTAGTAGTAGTAGTAGTAGTAGTAGTAGTAGTAGTAGTAGTAGTAGTAGTAGTAGTAGTAGTAGTAGTAGTAGTAGTAGTAGTAGTAGTAGTAGTAGTAGTAGTAGTAGTAGTAGTAGTAGTAGTAGTAGTAGTAGTAGTAGTAGTAGTAGTAGTAGTAGTAGTAGTAGTAGTAGTAGTAGTAGTAGTAGTAGTAGTAGTAGTAGTAGTAGTAGTAGTAGTAGTAGTAGTAGTAGTAGTAGTAGTAGTAGTAGTAGTAGTAGTAGTAGTAGTAGTAGTAGTAGTAGTAGTAGTAGTAGTAGTAGTAGTAGTAGTAGTAGTAGTAGTAGTAGTAGTAGTAGTAGTAGTAGTAGTAGTAGTAGTAGTAGTAGTAGTAGTAGTAGTAGTAGTAGTAGTAGTAGTAGTAGTAGTAGTAGTAGTAGTAGTAGTAGTAGTAGTAGTAGTAGTAGTAGTAGTAGTAGTAGTAGTAGTAGTAGTAGTAGTAGTAGTAGTAGTAGTAGTAGTAGTAGTAGTAGTAGTAGTAGTAGTAGTAGTAGTAGTAGTAGTAGTAGTAGTAGTAGTAGTAGTAGTAGTAGTAGTAGTAGTAGTAGTAGTAGTAGTAGTAGTAGTAGTAGTAGTAGTAGTAGTAGTAGTAGTAGTAGTAGTAGTAGTAGTAGTAGTAGTAGTAGTAGTAGTAGTAGTAGTAGTAGTAGTAGTAGTAGTAGTAGTAGTAGTAGTAGTAGTAGTAGTAGTAGTAGTAGTAGTAGTAGTAGTAGTAGTAGTAGTAGTAGTAGTAGTAGTAGTAGTAGTAGTAGTAGTAGTAGTAGTAGTAGTAGTAGTAGTAGTAGTAGTAGTAGTAGTAGTAGTAGTAGTAGTAGTAGTAGTAGTAGTAGTAGTAGTAGTAGTAGTAGTAGTAGTAGTAGTAGTAGTAGTAGTAGTAGTAGTAGTAGTAGTAGTAGTAGTAGTAGTAGTAGTAGTAGTAGTAGTAGTAGTAGTAGTAGTAGTAGTAGTAGTAGTAGTAGTAGTAGTAGTAGTAGTAGTAGTAGTAGTAGTAGTAGTAGTAGTAGTAGTAGTAGTAGTAGTAGTAGTAGTAGTAGTAGTAGTAGTAGTAGTAGTAGTAGTAGTAGTAGTAGTAGTAGTAGTAGTAGTAGTAGTAGTAGTAGTAGTAGTAGTAGTAGTAGTAGTAGTAGTAGTAGTAGTAGTAGTAGTAGTAGTAGTAGTAGTAGTAGTAGTAGTAGTAGTAGTAGTAGTAGTAGTAGTAGTAGTAGTAGTAGTAGTAGTAGTAGTAGTAGTAGTAGTAGTAGTAGTAGTAGTAGTAGTAGTAGTAGTAGTAGTAGTAGTAGTAGTAGTAGTAGTAGTAGTAGTAGTAGTAGTAGTAGTAGTAGTAGTAGTAGTAGTAGTAGTAGTAGTAGTAGTAGTAGTAGTAGTAGTAGTAGTAGTAGTAGTAGTAGTAGTAGTAGTAGTAGTAGTAGTAGTAGTAGTAGTAGTAGTAGTAGTAGTAGTAGTAGTAGTAGTAGTAGTAGTAGTAGTAGTAGTAGTAGTAGTAGTAGTAGTAGTAGTAGTAGTAGTAGTAGTAGTAGTAGTAGTAGTAGTAGTAGTAGTAGTAGTAGTAGTAGTAGTAGTAGTAGTAGTAGTAGTAGTAGTAGTAGTAGTAGTAGTAGTAGTAGTAGTAGTAGTAGTAGTAGTAGTAGTAGTAGTAGTAGTAGTAGTAGTAGTAGTAGTAGTAGTAGTAGTAGTAGTAGTAGTAGTAGTAGTAGTAGTAGTAGTAGTAGTAGTAGTAGTAGTAGTAGTAGTAGTAGTAGTAGTAGTAGTAGTAGTAGTAGTAGTAGTAGTAGTAGTAGTAGTAGTAGTAGTAGTAGTAGTAGTAGTAGTAGTAGTAGTAGTAGTAGTAGTAGTAGTAGTAGTAGTAGTAGTAGTAGTAGTAGTAGTAGTAGTAGTAGTAGTAGTAGTAGTAGTAGTAGTAGTAGTAGTAGTAGTAGTAGTAGTAGTAGTAGTAGTAGTAGTAGTAGTAGTAGTAGTAGTAGTAGTAGTAGTAGTAGTAGTAGTAGTAGTAGTAGTAGTAGTAGTAGTAGTAGTAGTAGTAGTAGTAGTAGTAGTAGTAGTAGTAGTAGTAGTAGTAGTAGTAGTAGTAGTAGTAGTAGTAGTAGTAGTAGTAGTAGTAGTAGTAGTAGTAGTAGTAGTAGTAGTAGTAGTAGTAGTAGTAGTAGTAGTAGTAGTAGTAGTAGTAGTAGTAGTAGTAGTAGTAGTAGTAGTAGTAGTAGTAGTAGTAGTAGTAGTAGTAGTAGTAGTAGTAGTAGTAGTAGTAGTAGTAGTAGTAGTAGTAGTAGTAGTAGTAGTAGTAGTAGTAGTAGTAGTAGTAGTAGTAGTAGTAGTAGTAGTAGTAGTAGTAGTAGTAGTAGTAGTAGTAGTAGTAGTAGTAGTAGTAGTAGTAGTAGTAGTAGTAGTAGTAGTAGTAGTAGTAGTAGTAGTAGTAGTAGTAGTAGTAGTAGTAGTAGTAGTAGTAGTAGTAGTAGTAGTAGTAGTAGTAGTAGTAGTAGTAGTAGTAGTAGTAGTAGTAGTAGTAGTAGTAGTAGTAGTAGTAGTAGTAGTAGTAGTAGTAGTAGTAGTAGTAGTAGTAGTAGTAGTAGTAGTAGTAGTAGTAGTAGTAGTAGTAGTAGTAGTAGTAGTAGTAGTAGTAGTAGTAGTAGTAGTAGTAGTAGTAGTAGTAGTAGTAGTAGTAGTAGTAGTAGTAGTAGTAGTAGTAGTAGTAGTAGTAGTAGTAGTAGTAGTAGTAGTAGTAGTAGTAGTAGTAGTAGTAGTAGTAGTAGTAGTAGTAGTAGTAGTAGTAGTAGTAGTAGTAGTAGTAGTAGTAGTAGTAGTAGTAGTAGTAGTAGTAGTAGTAGTAGTAGTAGTAGTAGTAGTAGTAGTAGTAGTAGTAGTAGTAGTAGTAGTAGTAGTAGTAGTAGTAGTAGTAGTAGTAGTAGTAGTAGTAGTAGTAGTAGTAGTAGTAGTAGTAGTAGTAGTAGTAGTAGTAGTAGTAGTAGTAGTAGTAGTAGTAGTAGTAGTAGTAGTAGTAGTAGTAGTAGTAGTAGTAGTAGTAGTAGTAGTAGTAGTAGTAGTAGTAGTAGTAGTAGTAGTAGTAGTAGTAGTAGTAGTAGTAGTAGTAGTAGTAGTAGTAGTAGTAGTAGTAGTAGTAGTAGTAGTAGTAGTAGTAGTAGTAGTAGTAGTAGTAGTAGTAGTAGTAGTAGTAGTAGTAGTAGTAGTAGTAGTAGTAGTAGTAGTAGTAGTAGTAGTAGTAGTAGTAGTAGTAGTAGTAGTAGTAGTAGTAGTAGTAGTAGTAGTAGTAGTAGTAGTAGTAGTAGTAGTAGTAGTAGTAGTAGTAGTAGTAGTAGTAGTAGTAGTAGTAGTAGTAGTAGTAGTAGTAGTAGTAGTAGTAGTAGTAGTAGTAGTAGTAGTAGTAGTAGTAGTAGTAGTAGTAGTAGTAGTAGTAGTAGTAGTAGTAGTAGTAGTAGTAGTAGTAGTAGTAGTAGTAGTAGTAGTAGTAGTAGTAGTAGTAGTAGTAGTAGTAGTAGTAGTAGTAGTAGTAGTAGTAGTAGTAGTAGTAGTAGTAGTAGTAGTAGTAGTAGTAGTAGTAGTAGTAGTAGTAGTAGTAGTAGTAGTAGTAGTAGTAGTAGTAGTAGTAGTAGTAGTAGTAGTAGTAGTAGTAGTAGTAGTAGTAGTAGTAGTAGTAGTAGTAGTAGTAGTAGTAGTAGTAGTAGTAGTAGTAGTAGTAGTAGTAGTAGTAGTAGTAGTAGTAGTAGTAGTAGTAGTAGTAGTAGTAGTAGTAGTAGTAGTAGTAGTAGTAGTAGTAGTAGTAGTAGTAGTAGTAGTAGTAGTAGTAGTAGTAGTAGTAGTAGTAGTAGTAGTAGTAGTAGTAGTAGTAGTAGTAGTAGTAGTAGTAGTAGTAGTAGTAGTAGTAGTAGTAGTAGTAGTAGTAGTAGTAGTAGTAGTAGTAGTAGTAGTAGTAGTAGTAGTAGTAGTAGTAGTAGTAGTAGTAGTAGTAGTAGTAGTAGTAGTAGTAGTAGTAGTAGTAGTAGTAGTAGTAGTAGTAGTAGTAGTAGTAGTAGTAGTAGTAGTAGTAGTAGTAGTAGTAGTAGTAGTAGTAGTAGTAGTAGTAGTAGTAGTAGTAGTAGTAGTAGTAGTAGTAGTAGTAGTAGTAGTAGTAGTAGTAGTAGTAGTAGTAGTAGTAGTAGTAGTAGTAGTAGTAGTAGTAGTAGTAGTAGTAGTAGTAGTAGTAGTAGTAGTAGTAGTAGTAGTAGTAGTAGTAGTAGTAGTAGTAGTAGTAGTAGTAGTAGTAGTAGTAGTAGTAGTAGTAGTAGTAGTAGTAGTAGTAGTAGTAGTAGTAGTAGTAGTAGTAGTAGTAGTAGTAGTAGTAGTAGTAGTAGTAGTAGTAGTAGTAGTAGTAGTAGTAGTAGTAGTAGTAGTAGTAGTAGTAGTAGTAGTAGTAGTAGTAGTAGTAGTAGTAGTAGTAGTAGTAGTAGTAGTAGTAGTAGTAGTAGTAGTAGTAGTAGTAGTAGTAGTAGTAGTAGTAGTAGTAGTAGTAGTAGTAGTAGTAGTAGTAGTAGTAGTAGTAGTAGTAGTAGTAGTAGTAGTAGTAGTAGTAGTAGTAGTAGTAGTAGTAGTAGTAGTAGTAGTAGTAGTAGTAGTAGTAGTAGTAGTAGTAGTAGTAGTAGTAGTAGTAGTAGTAGTAGTAGTAGTAGTAGTAGTAGTAGTAGTAGTAGTAGTAGTAGTAGTAGTAGTAGTAGTAGTAGTAGTAGTAGTAGTAGTAGTAGTAGTAGTAGTAGTAGTAGTAGTAGTAGTAGTAGTAGTAGTAGTAGTAGTAGTAGTAGTAGTAGTAGTAGTAGTAGTAGTAGTAGTAGTAGTAGTAGTAGTAGTAGTAGTAGTAGTAGTAGTAGTAGTAGTAGTAGTAGTAGTAGTAGTAGTAGTAGTAGTAGTAGTAGTAGTAGTAGTAGTAGTAGTAGTAGTAGTAGTAGTAGTAGTAGTAGTAGTAGTAGTAGTAGTAGTAGTAGTAGTAGTAGTAGTAGTAGTAGTAGTAGTAGTAGTAGTAGTAGTAGTAGTAGTAGTAGTAGTAGTAGTAGTAGTAGTAGTAGTAGTAGTAGTAGTAGTAGTAGTAGTAGTAGTAGTAGTAGTAGTAGTAGTAGTAGTAGTAGTAGTAGTAGTAGTAGTAGTAGTAGTAGTAGTAGTAGTAGTAGTAGTAGTAGTAGTAGTAGTAGTAGTAGTAGTAGTAGTAGTAGTAGTAGTAGTAGTAGTAGTAGTAGTAGTAGTAGTAGTAGTAGTAGTAGTAGTAGTAGTAGTAGTAGTAGTAGTAGTAGTAGTAGTAGTAGTAGTAGTAGTAGTAGTAGTAGTAGTAGTAGTAGTAGTAGTAGTAGTAGTAGTAGTAGTAGTAGTAGTAGTAGTAGTAGTAGTAGTAGTAGTAGTAGTAGTAGTAGTAGTAGTAGTAGTAGTAGTAGTAGTAGTAGTAGTAGTAGTAGTAGTAGTAGTAGTAGTAGTAGTAGTAGTAGTAGTAGTAGTAGTAGTAGTAGTAGTAGTAGTAGTAGTAGTAGTAGTAGTAGTAGTAGTAGTAGTAGTAGTAGTAGTAGTAGTAGTAGTAGTAGTAGTAGTAGTAGTAGTAGTAGTAGTAGTAGTAGTAGTAGTAGTAGTAGTAGTAGTAGTAGTAGTAGTAGTAGTAGTAGTAGTAGTAGTAGTAGTAGTAGTAGTAGTAGTAGTAGTAGTAGTAGTAGTAGTAGTAGTAGTAGTAGTAGTAGTAGTAGTAGTAGTAGTAGTAGTAGTAGTAGTAGTAGTAGTAGTAGTAGTAGTAGTAGTAGTAGTAGTAGTAGTAGTAGTAGTAGTAGTAGTAGTAGTAGTAGTAGTAGTAGTAGTAGTAGTAGTAGTAGTAGTAGTAGTAGTAGTAGTAGTAGTAGTAGTAGTAGTAGTAGTAGTAGTAGTAGTAGTAGTAGTAGTAGTAGTAGTAGTAGTAGTAGTAGTAGTAGTAGTAGTAGTAGTAGTAGTAGTAGTAGTAGTAGTAGTAGTAGTAGTAGTAGTAGTAGTAGTAGTAGTAGTAGTAGTAGTAGTAGTAGTAGTAGTAGTAGTAGTAGTAGTAGTAGTAG